ATTGTATAGTGAATATTGTGAAATCAGAGTTTTATACGACAATTTAATAAAAACAGATATTAAATTAAGTGATCAAATCAAGTCGTATATCTCAAGTAAGAAAGACTATGTTCCAATATCAACAGTAAATGATAATTCAGATAGTTTATATGATAATAATGATGAAGAAGTTGAATTAGTACACAAAAATCAGAAGAAAGATGAATATGTACGATCCGATCACTTCTGGTCTTATTTACTGAATATCAATCCAAATTCAACACCAAATATGAAAAAAATTATATGTTATATATTTTCGATTCCTTGTACAAATGCATATGTAGAAACAATTTTTAGTCATATGAAACATGCATGGTCTGATTATCGGAATCGTATGGATATCGAATTAGTTGATGCTGAGTTGAAAATAAGAATGAATTCTGATTATCCTTGTGCATATATGTATAAATATCTTTTATCTCAACCTGATATATTGAACAAAATTCGAACAAATGAAAAATATCAACAAAAGAAACGTCGTAATATTGAATGAACTTTGCTTTTTTACATACATTTTAATGAGGTGTATATATATACTTACGCTCGTTTTTCTACTTTTTTGGTCAAGTTAATTCTCATATTGTTTTTGTAAAAAAAAGTGAGTACTTAGATATGCTACTTATGCTAGTGTTTTTCGAAATTACTCAACCAAAAGTATATTGTTATTTTTTTATTTTTTTTGGAATGAAATATGCTTCAAGATGATGTTTGAAAAACTAAATGAAAGAGGTCAAGTAAATTCTATTGATGTAAAACAAATTTTATGTATTTAAGCATGAAAAAAACACTCTCCGATTTTTTCCGATTTCAAAAAAATTTTTTCCGATTTTTCCGATTTCGACAAGTAGATTTTCCGATTTTTAATTTTTCGATCTGGCAACCCTGCTTACCACGTCACTTGTCTATTTGTAATGTTGAATAAAATATTAATCTTTTATGGGCTTTTATACTCTCCTTTTATCCATCTTTATTTCTGTAGCAAGGCAAAATATGACAATTCAACAAATCTACATGTAAACAAATCGAATTCACTACTAACATACTATTTACAGAAGACTGAACAACAAAGAACTGCAGATTGATTATATTACTAGATGATGTGTATTATATTGATTGATTTCAATATTTAAACGTCTATCTGTATTATTATTTTATTATTAATAAAAATCATTTATACAAGTGAGTGTATACTTGAAGAAATAAAAAAATATTATTAAATACAACGAATTTGTCATCGTTCAGTTTCATAAATTATTTGTTTCGGAACTATAGATTTCTTTTCACGAAGTAGATATACAGAATAAACAAAAAAAACACTCAATACTACTAGTAAAACAAGAAGCAAGTCGTTTGTGTATGATTTATTCTGATCGACGAACAATACGTAGCCAAATACCATTTTTGGCATTTAGAATTCCTAATTTTCCCAATAGAAGTGGAACCTAGAGATAATAAACGATGATGAAACGATAATATGAATGACATTATTACTTATTTCGGTTTTTTCACATTTCTGAAATTCCACGACGCGAAGTGCTTTAGCAATGCCAAGTTTAGCTTCTAACAAAGCAAGTCGCATTCCAATACAATTACTAAGTATTAATATTTAATACACACTTAGTTAATATGAAAAAAATTAAATATTGTTCTGCTTACCGAGGTCCATCACGAAAAGGAAGAAATGTCATTGGATGCCGGTTTGCTTTTTCTGTTGGCAAAAATCTACCGAACAGTATTAGTTTATACAAAAAGCTCTGATGATTTTAAGTTTTACCTTTCACGTATGAATTTTTCTGGATCAAGCCAAGAATTAGGATCATGATGGATATAAGAGATGCACATTAGGCATATTAAGTGTACATGAAAGAAAAATTAACTTAAAAAAACTAGAGTATAGAGTGTGGGTGAGTGTGGGTATGAAGGGAAGACTTACACCCACAGCCACATCCGCATCTCACATCCACACACCCACATCCCACACTCACACCCTCACCCCTGTACAATTTGAATATTCGTTGCCCAAAATCAATCATTAGGAGAGGAAACTTTAATATTTAGTTTAATTGTTTCTGTTAACACATTAACTATTTAAAGTGAAGAGAATAAATGGTTAGCATGAGAGTAATACACCTTCATTCAACTTTTTTTTTTATGTTAGAAAATGTCTATTTTCTGAAAATAACGATACTCTCATAGAGCTTGAGCAAAAGATGTGAGGATCGGAAAGATCCGATTTTCTGTATGAATTTCAAAGTCTTGAATTTATATTTTGAGAGGCCTGACAGCTCAAACTCTGATACTCTAAGTAGGTTTTTAAAAAAATTGTTATCTTCGAAAAATGGATCTTTCCTGATCGAGAAAACTTCATTGAAATAGTATTACCTTAACGCAAATCACTTATATATATAATTTTAGGTAAATAATATGTTGACAGAAAAAACTCCAATTTATTATCCTATCAATATTTAAGTGGCTCGTTGACCGTTGACATGAGCAAACAACGTAATGCCAGTCATCTAGCTTGTATCCATAATAATGGTCAAATGATGGGTCATTGCTAAAATTTATGGCTAGTGTAAGTAATGCTTGATTTTCAAAGCGGGTGTGGGTGTGGGTGTGAGTGAAGAGACGATAAACACCCACATCCTCACCCTCGCATAATACGAAAGTTATGTTTCATACAAAGATAGTTCTGCTTGAAATATTATTAGTATAATACTAGTTGGATAGTGATGAAATATTATAGAAAAATAGAGCTTCATTTGCTCTATCATTTAATGAAAAAAGAATTTTTTTTGACCCTTTTATATAAGGAAATAAAATACTTCCGACATTAGTTTTGTATACACCTAAGTATATGAAAATTCGATTCCTGTGCCTGTCTTATAATCCTTTTTATTGAACCTTTTATATTTAATTAAGCATATCAACTATTGATATAGTTAGTTGATTTGACTCGTACACTTTCAAATAGTATTACATCAGGTTAAGTTTACTAGGCACATCGAAGTAGGCAATCTCTCCTTGTTGTAACATAAGAATCCGATCACTATTAGCAACAGTGTTCAATCGATGTGCAATCGTCAATATCGTGCGATCACGAAACTTGTCGGCAATCACCTCTTGAATCAACCTATCGGTGGTATGATCAACATTTGCTGTAGCTTCATCAATCAGCAATATATAGCTCTTCTTCAGAATAGCTCGAGCTACACAAACCAGTTGGCGCTCACCAGCACTCAAATTAGTACCCGATTCAGCTACCAACAGATGGAGTCCATCGGGATGGTTGCGCACCATTCGTTTAAGTTGAACAGCTTCAAGTGCTGTAAGACATTCTTCATCTGAGAATTGTTCGAATGGATCAATATTGTATCGAAGTGTACCACAGAAGAGTATGGGTACTTGTGGAATAACACTTAGATGAGAACGAAGATGATCGAGTGAAAGACGTCCAATATCGATGCCGTCAATGAGTATAATTCCGTTGATTGCTGACTGATCGACAAGTCGAAAGAGAGCTTGAAGAAGTGATGACTTTCCGGCACCTAGACGAAAAACAGACACTGATAAAGTAATGTCACCAAGAGGGTAATCACACATTCCGATACTCCAGATCCTTTGGGAGTACACTGTGCATCGTCAGTGCACATGAATCAAAAACTGGTGAAATGCTCCATTCGAAAAATATAGTTCCTCATCAATGGATCGCTTTAATTCAACGTTTGAAATCAGTTACTGATAGAATTAGTCTCATATAGTGTATACCTACTATTTAATTGCTCGTTTTTCACTCATTCCATGATATGATATAGTATAAACGAGTAAAAACCAATAGACCAGAGTTGTTCACATGCATTACATAATATAACCTCGAGTTAGCTAAACTATGCATTGGTTACTACCGAGCTCTGTATTCCTGGAAGCATTGGGAAATGTCTTCTGGTAAAGAAAATTTGCCACTTCCTTGAATCTTCACCGAGGCTATGTTCTAGCGTCTTCTATCCTATATTGATATTCATGTTTCATCAAGAATGGCGAGTCATAATGGCGTAGTACGTGGGTCTTTTTGCAGTTATCTCTTTGGATCCGTCTCTATTCACTCGATCCTACTCGACTTTGCATCAAAGAGAAATCTCATAATGTCTAGGTATAGAATTTGAAATATTTACACTGGCTGAGAAAGGTTCAATCATGGATTTTTGATTGTAGGAGAAAGCATCAACAACAGTATCTTTCTTCTGTCTATATCTACATATCCGTTTTTGACCAATATCCTGTCTCTTCATTAAGAATTCTCTTCATGTATATTTCGAGAAATGAAGTAATTATACCTGTTCGACCAATAACGCCAATCTTTTCCTTGGACTCAATTCGCAGATTAAGATTTTTGAGTACAGGATCGAGCTCTGGACGATAGCGAAAAGTGTAGTCTTTAAATTCGATAATACCACGAGAAGGCCAATCATCTGCCGGTTGAACGAGTGCACCGCTTTCGTTACTGTTTCGATGGCTTTCTGGCATCAGTTGACCATATTCATGAATACGTTCTGCACTGGTCATGAAATTTTCAGCTTCGGCTGATTGTCGTATACACCATTGAAACAGACCTGTTAAAGTGATACAATAGTTGATACTGAGTGCTGCTGCCGATGGATCGATTTGATGGCGCAATGCTACTGCAAGAATAGCGGTAACCAAAGTGAGTAAGGATGCTAAAAAATCGAGCCGTAAGCCGAACCAACGTACAGTGGCCAAGAGAATGAAGTAAGCACGTGAATTAGTATCAATTCTTTCCATGAACATATTCAAAAAATCGCCTTGAACATCAAACGCACGAATACTAGTGAGTCCCTCTAGTGACGACGAGAACAATGTATAAACTGGACTACGCGTTGCACTTTCGAGTCGTTTGAGTTGACGACTCGAACGCATGTAAAATCTACGAAGCCACAAAACTATGGGAACTAAAGGAATGAGAATTAGAAGTACCCATGGGTTAGTTATTCCAATGATTGTGATAGAACCGAGAGTCATTAGTAAATATTGCATAGTATCAATTAAAGCCAGAGGTAACGATTGGTCTAACACTTGTTGATCTTTGCTAGCTCGATTCAAGATTCGTCCACTTGGATTGCTTTCAAAGAAACGTAACGAAGTATACAAGATACCTTTGAGCATTTGATTGTGAAAATCGGTCGAACCACATAACATAATATAGAAGATATAGCCAGTACGTATTACTGCGACGATTAATATAGAACATACAACTCCGAGATAGACACGAGCATAAAATGATGATTGTTGTTCTCTTTCATCTTTACTAGACCATAGAGCCAGCCACCTATTTGCAAAGTCGTACGAAGCTTCATTAACGAGCATAAGAATAATCATCAGAAGAAAACCGAACCCCCGTAAGGGTGGTGAAGTAAACAATTTCAGCCAAATACTCCACTTGATGGCACCGTCAACTGATGTCTCATTCTTGACAATCGGATCCATATCAGTTACAGCAGTGTTAAGTATCCAATCTGTCTCCTGATCGTCAAATGACTTTGTTTCTGATGTATCATTTGATGGCTCTATTGCAGACCGTTGTTCAATCTGTAATTCTTCAAGCTGACCATTCGTCATGAGAATCATTTGATCTGTTTCAACTAAAAAATGTGTCTGGTGTGTAACCAATATTCGAGTCTTTCCACGAAGAAGACTCTGAGGACCGATGCATTGATCAAAAATGTTCTTTGCCACTTTTGGATCAACAGCAGCAAGTGGATCGTCGAGTAAATATAAGTCAGCATCAGTGTAAAGAGCACGAGCAAGCGATATTCGAGCTTTTTGTCCTCCACTCAAATTGACACCTTTGTCACCAATCATCAATAAATCGCCAACTTCACCGAAATTCTGTATATCGATATCAAGACAACATGCCTTTATTACATTCTTATAACGTTCTTCATCCATTGGTTTTCCAAGAAGGATATTGGCTCGAACAGTGTCAGCAAAGATCCACGCCGATTGTGGAGCGTATGAAATTGAATTAACATATAGCCGTAGTTTTCCACTGACAAGATTAATCTCACCGAGAATAGCAGCTAGTAGGGTTGACTTGCCAGTACCGACGGCACCTTTCACTCCAACCAAGTTACCGCGTCTGATTTTGAGATTGAGAGAGAGCAAAGAAGGAGTATCTTTCCAAGAAAATGATGCATCTTCTATTATGACTGCATGATTCTCATTTTCATTTTCTTCTTTTTCGCGTTTGTTCGACAATATGTCGAGTTGCATAAATTGATCGATTCTTCTTGCAGAAACACGAGCTTCACTAAAATATTGGATCATTAGCGGTATCCCGTTTATTACTGAAGATCGGATCATGACGAAGAAGGCTAGTGCTGCGAATATATTTTCTGGAAGCAAAGTTCGGCCCATTAGCCAACTACCACCGAATACAGCAAGAGAAATCAAAGGAAACGTTGCGAAGGAGAGAGCAGTATTAAGAGCTCTCAAGATGCTCGCTTTGTAAATGTTCCATAGTTCACGTCGACGTGTTTCACGTACACGTTGTTCCATAGCTTTTTCCCAATTGTACATTTTAATAATTTGACATCCGTTGACAAGTTCATTGATCGTTTGCACACGCTTGTCTGTACATGTCATTGTGGTCTTTCGGTATCGGCTGAATTGTCTACTAAAAATGAGCTGTATAGGTATTAATAAAATTAGCACTGCATAGCCGAATAATGTCGGTAAACCGATATGCCACCAAATGAGACCAAACATTGTGAGAACTTCCAGAGGTGCCAGCACTAAAACATGCGCGGACATGCTCAAGTCTTCAAACTTACCAGCATCATTTGCGACTAAATTGATTATCTGAGCAGCAGTAGTCTTGTGAAGAGCTGCGGTATTGATTGTCAACAAGTGCCTATAGATAGCAGATGATAATGCATTGCGAATTCGCATACCTATGCGACCATTTCGAAAGAAGATTTGTTGTTGAAAACTGGCTTGTACAATGGCAAAGATGCAAAGAGCAATAGCCAATAGATAAGCAGCGGAAATCGGTAATTCTAATTCACCTTTAATGCAGAGAACAATTTGACGAATAAGCAATGGCTGTGCAATATGAGCCATAAGAAGTGGGAAAACGAGCAATACGCTCGTTAAAAAATCTTTATAAAATGCTTGCTTGAATACATGCCATGTGCCTTGCCATGGAAAACTATACGGATTCACTCTGTTCAACAGGATTGAACATTTATCATCGATAGAAAGATCGTTAAGATCGTTCTCCACAAGCGTGTGTTTATTACCCAAGGAGAGAATAGGCGTTACCCATACAAATAGTGGTATCTCTATCCATCTTCTCCATGATGATTCAGCCCAATCCAAACGAGATGATTGTCTTTGTTCACCTAGAATATATTCTTATCCGAATGAATTATTTGAGGGTGTGGATGTGGATTTTCACTCCATCCGGACCCTCAAAAACCCATACATATACCGATCTACCTCTACATCCTATTATTTTCGTAATGAGAAGTACAAGCATTCTTAAGTTATGAAGTATACATACTCATGTTCGTATCTTGACTATACTTTGAGCTCCAAGTGACACTTTGTGAGGATAGTAGTCTTACGGGCTGTTCTTTCAAACATAAAATTTGCGTTATCATATTTTCTGATACACTTTTTTGTTATTCCTTATCATTCTCATATCAGCAGTTCTTTGCACACATACGTTGCTACACTTGATGCACTCATGATATAAAAGAGATGCAAACAAAAAATGAAATAAAATTCAGAGTTTATAATAAGGGGGGAAAAAACTGTTTGGCATTCGCATCCATTCCCACCCATTTCCATCCATTCCGACAACTTCAGTGTTTGCCTGTTTCCGGTTCAAGGACTAAAGATAAGAGCCAAAGGTCCTCGATTAATGTTCAACCGCAAGGAACGGAAGAAAACTATACTAACATTTTCAGTCATTCGAGTGATTCGAAATCAATTTTTCCCCCTTGGATCCTAACGTTCTTTTTCCGATAAGAAAAATGCTCTTTATTTTCCTCTACCGCACACTCTAAAATATAGACGATTCAAGAATAAATAAATTGTCCGAGTTCGAATATATTGTATCAGTTCCCGTTAAACAAATACACAACGAAAGTATAATAACACTTGAACAGAATTTTGGTGCCCGATTCAATTCCAACCCATGTAAAACTGAAACACAAACTAGACGCATCTAAACGCTTTTATAGACACATCTAGATGCGGTTGAGTTGCAAAATGATGATTAGACATATTTAACCACGTTTTGAATATGATCGTGTTTTGATAGAAAAGATTTGAAAGCGCGTTTTGCTGCGTTTTAATCAACACTCGGGTTTAAATGCGGTCGAGAGACAGATCTTGCTCTCTTTTTCGAAACAATCAAACGTGTGTAAACGCATTCAAGCGGATACAGATGTCTAAAACACGATTGAACATGTTTTAGGATAAAAACGAAACTAGGTTTTTTTTGTTGAATAATTAGCAAAACTATCAAGAATTTGAATATTTTGGGTAGTTTTATATGATTTGTCGAAAATTTGTTTCTGAATTAATCTCCAGGGTGGGCCAAAAATTATTACAGTAATTACGAGAAACAAAAAAAGAAAATAAATAATGAACGAATAGCAAGAAGCAAATAAAAAATAGAGAGCCCATCAAGAAATTAAAGAAATAATTTCTGTTCGAAATGCGAATAGAAATAAGACAGATAATTTATCTGACGATCGACTATTCTTGGAGAGCAACTAATGGGTGGCCCATAATGAGTGAGCCGACATGTTGCTCGCTTTTTAAGACATTTCTTAAGACACTGAAGACAACATTTTTGGCTTATTCGATAGAGAATTTCTCGCTCTATAAAACTATTCGTTTTGTTTCTCAAATAATTCTTTTCTAGTTGGGGAAAAGTTCAACAAATTGATAAGTACTCAGTCGCCCAGCTGCGACTATGAAAAGAGAAGAATTATTAAAGAGTTTTCAAGTACGATGGTATCGAAGTCGAAAATATGCTGCAAGATAATCTTTGAGGCTCTACATCGTACAATGCTCTATTAGTCGAAGTAAAATACTTAGAAGAACAATTTCAGAAGGAAAAATTTAAAAAATCAACACAAAAGCCGTTTCCTCATCGACCTATGCTATTGTTCGTTTTTGATTTAGGACAAACTAGAGATTTGTGTTTTTCGATTCAAATGTTACATTATTTTGCTCAAAATTAAAGTCTGCATCAGATGAAATGGAAATAAACCGTTCACAGGACGCTACTGTATTTTTAAAAAGCCGTTTTGGAAAGGTATTGAGAAGCAAATATCATAGGATATTACTTCCAAGTCTTTTCACTCTGAACGATGTTATTCTGTATTCTAAAATGTCTTGAAAACAGACAGTAAAAAGTTGTCTATCTATTGATACTAAATAATTTGTATTTATTATAGAACTTGATGACCAAAGGCCTAAACATTTTAATGAAGGCTGAATCAAATAGTAAGAAATCGCACTTGGGTGACTGAATACTTATCAATTTGTTGAACTTTTCCCCCAACTAGAAAAGAATTATTTGAGAAACAAAGTGAATAGTTTTATAGAGCGGGAAATTCTCTATCGAGTCAGCCAAAAATATTGTCTTCAATGTTTTAAGAAATATTCTAAAAAGAGAGAAACATTTTGGCTCATTCATTATGCGCCGCCCGTTATTAAAATCTGCACCATTGTGTTCCAGACAATATTATGATTTCCGGATATATTAGCAGACTGTTTTATAGATGTTACTATTCTTGGTCCTATCGTGAAGAGAATATACACACTATGAAATAAAACACAATTTATATAGATCTGAAAATTTCTCAGATTAAAGTTTTATGGGTCAATAAGAATTGTTTAACGATCGGCGGGCTTTCTTCGCACATATTTTGTTAACCAAACGACGAATTTAATGCTTACCGACTTGTCGAAAGTTTATAATTGGTCTCGGAATGAATTGATTATCGTTAAATCAGATGATAGATCGAAACTTTATAACAAATTTCAAAAGTTAAAATTGCTATGTAATGAAAAAATTCCACGCGTACATTATAGTTGGTGATTTACTGATAATATGACACCTGACGTGTTCGTTCAAAGATGCATTAAGACAGTAGAATACGTGTATTGAGTCAAACTATAATATAAACAAACAGACTAGTCGAAGTGCGTGATGAGATTCAATTGTTTATATGATTAATGACTCAAGATATCAATTAGGAACATCTGTATGTAGAAGAATGTAGAAATTTAATGAAGCAGCTTCATTGAGCAGTATTACTGAATGTATGACTATTAAACAGATTATAGAATGAGAAAGTATATAGATTGAACAAAAGCAAAACTACAAAGAAAAAAATTTTTTTTTGAAAAAGAAAGAGCCACATTCATTGACCTAAATCGGGCAATCTTCCTTGAAATTAATTCTATGAATTTGGGAACACTACAGAATTTTTCTTTAGTTATTATTGAAATGATACCGTAATGTCATGAAACGACAAGCTAGCTATCATTTGTTTCCAGTAAATGAATTCTTTTCCACGACAGTGAAAATTATTATTTATTGAATTATCACATATAGTTGTCACTGTTGTCTATGTTCGATTAATTATCTCGATTGATCTATTAAAATTATTGATTTGTTTAGAAATAATTTAAACAGTTATTTTTTCTTAATGTATGATATATTATTGAAGGTTGTGCTGTTTACATTCTTTTCTCTTTTCATTATTCGATTTGTTGTTCTTTTCTTCTTTAATTATCTTTTGTATGTTTTTCTTTTGAACTATTGAGAAATATTCAGACAAATGATTAAGGTCTCTAAATACGTGTTTATTTGAACACATTTCATATATTTGAAGAGAAAACTATGCATATTAAGACAAAACCACGTGGTTAAAATGAAAAAAGAATACATAAAAAAATCAATTTGCTAATTAAGTCATTGCTACTAAATGTGTTACATAATAACAAATGAAGATATGATTAAGGGTGTGGGTGTGAGTAAAGACGTAAATGATACCCCACCCTCTTTTTTTAGAACGATAGAGTCAATAAAACAGATTTCATTAACATTTTCTGCTCTTTCTTTCTCAACAGATACTCAGAAAATTAGTGGATTCGATGCGTTATTAATCATAATTTATCTTTCGGAATAGAGAAACATCTGTTGTGACCTGAATGATTCGTGAATTTTGATTTCATCCAATGATTTGTTTCCTTAAGATCTCATACGTAAGATGCACAAATGCTTTCCTGATCCTAGTAAAAACAGATAAAGCTATTGCTAAAATGCAATCGGCTGATAAGAAACCTAAATGTGGTATTATTCATTCGTTAGTCGTTCCACCACTTTCAAAAAAAAATTTGCTAGTTCTACTACCACTTCTACTATTGCTAAATTCTCAGAAATAACAGAACCAGGTATAACAGCTTGTTGTTCATCAGTTAAACCTTCTGAATCGTTATCATCATCTGCATCATCAACAATGGCTGTGACTAGAGACATCTCCCTCATTCCTTCAGGCATAAGCCGTTCTGCAAAAGGACTACCTACTCAAGTAGAACTATCTTCATATAAAGCAAACAAAGATAATTGGTCATTTTAAGCGAACTAGTATTCAACATTTACATCGTTAATCTATTTAATCAAACATGATTCTGTCTTTTGTTATTCTTGTCGTCAATCTTACGAGGAAAGGACACCAACTGGCAAATCGCTTTTCATTTGAAACTTAGTGGAAAATAGACAATCAAATGTGCTGAATCCGAATATGATAATAGTTTGTGCCCGTAGATCTTTTCAGTTCCTGTTTTTGGAAAACCAGATTTTCAGGTCAAAAAATCTTTTCCACGAAAATTTTTTTCAGCCATTCATGTGAAAGAGCACATCCTGAGACCTATGGAAAACTAATTTTTTCAATTTTTTGAGAGGTTTTCGACGGGTTTTTAGTGTAAAAACTTTAAAGTCAGGTGAGAAACAGTTTTCTACTTTAGAAAGTTTTTTGTCGAAACTTTGTTGTTTCTAGGTAATCGAATGTATTGATTCTGAATTTCTATAGTATGAGCCTCATTTCACTGTAGTGTAAGCTATAAAAACATAGCATTGCAAGAGTCTCAGCAGGACCAAAAGTAGGGTGACCCATAATCAGCATGGTAGAGAAATGTCGCGGAAACTTTTTTCCGCCGAATTTCAAGTTTTTCCCGAAAAAACACTTCAAAAACCTTCAAAACTCTTCGAAAACGATTTTCTTATAGACTCTGAGATATGCTCTTTCATATGAATGGCTGAACAAATTTTTCCAGTGAAAAGGGTTTTTGAGCTGAAAACCTAGTTTTCCAAAAACAGGACCTGAAAAGGCCTAAGGTCACAAACCATTGTCATATTCGGATTCAGCATACTCGATTACCTATTTTCCGCTAAGTTTCAAATGAAAAGCAATTTGCCAGTTACTGTCCTTTTCTCACATCTTACTGATGCTCTTAATATATTAAATACAGTACATTTTAGTAGTGGAACGTGATTTTAACATTACTTTCGAAAAAATGAGATGGTTTCGCTGATGAGCACAGAAATAGTAGAATTTTGTTAAAGTAAAATCCTATGATTCTTAAAATTATTTTTTACTTAGTAAATATCCATCGTGCTCAAAAGCCGTTTTTAAAAATAAATACACTATGGCATTCTTGTGTTATGAAAATAAATATTGTGCATCATCTTTAATAATTTTTGGAAAATTGTTAAGGCTGAGCTCAACCACCCGACTTTTTCTGGTTACGCCACTACCTCTAGAACAAGCTTATAATAGGCATTCTATATGTAACACTGATATCAGTATACTAGCTTATCTCTCCTTTGATGCAGCATGTGTTTGCCTCTTCCATGTTATGTGTGTTTTGTATGCATTTGGTCGTTTTCTTTCTTCTTTTATGTAATATTAAATGTCTTCCATGATGCGAGTGCTTACTATCTATTTGCGTAAACATAGTAATGAACTGAGGACTCCAATTGTATGATTGTATATATGCGTTGTGGTATTACATCCTTTTAGTGCTCACAGGAGCGGAGATGTCCAACTCGGCTGACAATCGGCCGCTGCCATAATTTTCAAGAAAATATTTCGAATTTCATCGGCGTAACTGTTTTGGATCAGAAATACTGGTACTACTGCATCAGATTTATTTAGTCTCAGGGTGTTTCATTAGTAAACACTGAAATTCTATCAAATTCATGTAGTTTTTCAAAGTTCTTGAAAAAATGCTGCCGCTGCCGCGTCGTCACCTTCACGGCGGCAGTAGCGCCGCATTGGACATCTCTGCGCAGGAGTCACGTTAAATCCATATGCAAGATGGAATAGAATAAACATCATAGTAGCTGGCATTGATTGCCGATTCTCAAAGAAATATCATCAAACGAATACGTTGCATACAAAAGGTTCGAATGATACACGCATTTAAAATTGCTAAGACTATCAATGAGATCGCAACCACAGCGGATCAAATTGGTTTCCAATTTTTGTGAAACGTCCAGGAGTTTTAGAACTTTTGCAGCAGTGGTTGAACTCCATGAGTTCTGAACTCTTGAGGATTTCGGAACTCAAACCCTAATTAATAAGTAATATGTCAGCAATCACCAGCAAAAAGATCATTTAGAACTCATGGAACCCAAGGAAGTCAATGAACCCAATGAACTCATCGAACCCAAGAAAATCAAGGATCCCAAGGAACTCAAGAAACCCACGGAAATCTAGGAACCAAAAGAACTCAAGGAATTCATGGAACCTAAAGAACTCAAGGAACTCAGGGAAGACGAGGACCCCGAGAAACTCATGGAAGTCAATTCTCTTGAGCATGATAAAGTCCGTTCGATTACCTTTGACCTGGGCACATACATGCACTGAACATTATATGTATTTTTTATTCAGAAAAGAGCCAAATCCGAAGAAGCAAATAGCAAGGTAGTTATACACTCTTAAGGTACTTTCATTTTATAATGCTTCTAGAGGGGGAAAAATTCTATAATTTCTGAGCAGATCCTTTCTCACATTGAGGGTGAGGATCTAAAGTCACAGGCCGGCTGAACGTGCACATCACATAACTGAGGGTGAGGGTAGAAACAAAGACGTCTGTACAACGGCTGGCGGGCGAGAGTGAAGATGAAAACACAGTATTGGCGGTCATCACCTCCGTTCTCAGGGTAGTGCAAGGCGCCTATGTTTTTTCTTCATGCTGATTAGGTGTATTATGGTCCTTACAGAGTTCTTCGGAATACTTTCGAAAGTGAATGAATATCGTGGAATCTAATACCCACCATTGAATAGAGCTTCTCTGAGTTTGATTAGTTTCTTGACTTTCTAAGGTCCCTTGAGTTCATATGGTTACATGAGTTCCTTGGATTCTGTTCTCTCTAGACTACTGACCGCTTCTTATATTTGACAGATGTTTGAATTTCGGAATCGTCAAGAGTTTAGAACTCACGGAATTCGTCCACGTCTCAACTTTTGATTTCAAACCTTTTTCTAGAATATTTACTAAAGAGCTCTTTTAGGGTGAGCTAGAGATGCCAAAAAAGAAACAACTTGATAGAAAGAAATAGTGCAGCATATTCGCTTGACCCCTTGACTCCCGACGACACATATATGCATCGAAACATTTCTTATAAAAATTTGGATTTTCGTAACAAAAGCTGGGAGTCAATGGATTAAGGACTAGTGTGGCAGATAGATCTCGTTGAACTCTATCGAATGGTGTGTCGTTTAATTCTTTGACTTCTAGCTTTTATTGCGAAAATCCAAATTTTCATAAGAAATGTTTGGAGGTATATTTGCGTCGCCGGGAGTCAAAGGATTAAGTAGAGTCCATCTATTCCTACAAATTAGAGATGTGCCAATTGAACCATGATACTAGCTTTGTCCTTCACACTCACTTTCACTCTCGGTATCCAATTATTTGATCTCATTGGAACACGTCCGAGAACCAATAATTATATCGAAGGCTACCACGTGCAGCCCAATTTACACTGTCAAACATATCCAAATGTATGGGCTTGAGCGAAGTTGGGAGAATCGACTATTATTCGACTTGAGCAAGAGCAAGCTCATAAACGATCCATGCATCCTCGATGAGTAAAATCGATGATCAATGATAATGTGTTGATCGACAATGTATTCGATCAAGCTGACAAGGATGATGTCGATTATCAGCCCAATAATATTTGAATTGTTATGTTTTCTATTCTGTACGTTTGAAATGCTTTTCTTATGATTCGGAATAAGAGCTATGACATAAATTTATTTACTTTTTTCTGTGGTACGGATATTGTTTTAATTAGCAGCAACTCTTCAGATACTTCACTCTATTTCAGAATAAGAACATTTTTAATTGACTAGTTGACGAAAACGTCCGCAATTATAAATCAGCATACGATGCACTACTCGACATATTTTCTCATCATTACCACCGTCTTTGTTTTGCTTTTCGCCACATGTTTATCGTCTTCCATCAATTCACCATCTGTCTATGCAACATATACATTATCTTATAATGACGCTCAATCAACGAACATCTATATTAATATCGAGTTTGGAATCAATGAAGATATTCAACTTCATTTAAATGGAACACAAACATTTATAATGCCACGTTCTGTTCCATCTGGGTATGCTTTAGAATTCTATGATTCATATGTTGATAATTTAATCGCAAAAAGTTCAGATGGAAGTCTTATTACTATCAAAAAAGATTCGGCAGGTGGCCCAAGATGGTCATTAGAATGTGCTTCAAATGAAACATTATCAACTATTTCTTATTCAATTAATTTAACTAAACATGAACAAGGAATATTAAGTGGTTATGATGCATCAAAAATACGTCAAAATCGTTATATAGGCATATTAGGCTATTCTATTTTTGGTTATTTAGAGCCAATGGATGAAGTAGAAAATTTGCCTCTAATGTTAATCGTTCAAAGTCTGCCTGAATGGCCTATTCATTTAACATTACCACCTACTACTAATCGCGTACCAGGTCAACAAACATATAGTACTGCCAGTGGTATAGCTAAAAATTATTATCATTTAGCCGATACACAAGTATTCATGGGACCAAGTATGAATGTCACATATATCCCTATTTCTTATGATGAATTATATCAACAAAAAACAAAATCACAACTGTCATTTGATCAGAATCTAATAGAACAAAACTATATTCAAAGATCATTATCATTTTATGTAGTTATCTATACCGAAGATATAGATAATTTGGACGTTGATATGGCCACTAACCTAAGTGTACAGGCAATGAAAAACTTATTATTATATTACAATAATGTCCCATTTCCACTTTATACAGTTGCAATGGAAATGACTAAACCTTTAGATGACAAGCATAGCTATGGTATTAGTATGGAGCATTTAAATAGTTGTACAATAAATATTGAATATGGTAGTGGTATACATAAAAATAGTACAAAAGATCAAATAAGAATATTCCAATACAATCTAGCACATCATATTCAACATGCTTGGTTACCGAAACGGCTATTTTCAAAATTTTACTATCCATTTATATTTGAGTTAACACCAGTTATCGATACAATTTGGTTTAACGAAGTATGTTGATATTAGAAGGCATTTTTCACAAACTTCATGAGAAACGAGTGCATACAGTTATATCACTTCTTATGTCTATCCGCGTCCCTCCAAAATAAACAGTTCTTGGGAAAACTACAAATATGCAGCATACAGTACTAGCGCATGTTCTAAATATTTTGAACCTATAGACAATATGATGTTATGTAAAGAAGATTCTTTGGCCATTCCACCTCTAAGAAAAAATCCGCACTTCAATTTTCTCGCATTTTTCTATCGATAGTAAGTGAAGATAAAATTATCAAATGATAACGTCTATTTCAGACTAGAAAAGCCTGAAACAGTCGTGATCTAATAACATGTCATGCATTAAAACAGCTCAGTTTTTGATGATTTTAACCATATCCATTAGATTATTTGGTTGAAAACATCTCTAGATCGAAAAAATCAAAAGTATGCCAAAAGTTTAACATTACAGGTGCCACTTTAATGGACCGAGCAACTAGCGCCGGCTAAAAAAAACGAAACAAGCCTTTTGTCACCGTTCTCAGTTCTTCGATGAGTTGATAATTAACTTCCAAAATCTTCAAGACTTTATTAATCCATTCTTATGTACTGTGAATTAGTCATAGCTAGTTTGAAACCATTGCTTACAACGGAACATCCTTAGGTACTTGAATGCTTTTGGCGCTATATTTTGTCCATATGTCGGTCTCAGTAAGATTAGTAAAAGCCTAAAGATATTCGGACTTCTGGTCCCTTTTTCTCGAGTTTTGATCGTTTTACAGAGCCTATTTACATGTTGCCTGGCTACTTCAAGGAAGGTGAAATCTTGTCCATAAGTAGATCTAATAATTGCTACCATATTCTCGAAGTTTTAGTCAAAATAGATACTCTCTTTACGAGAATAGTAGCAATTATTAGATCTACTTATGGACAAAATTTCGGACCGAAATGAGAGGATTCTTACTTTCCTTTAAGTGGCGAAGCATCAGATATAAAAGCTCAATAAAACGATCATAGCTCGAGAAAAGAAGGTCAGAAACCCGAATTGTATCAATCTCATATGTAATTATTATTTGTTTTCCTTTCATCTGCTTCAATTTATAAAGGCTGATCAAACGAATGTTCAACCATAGACTGAATTCATTACAAAATATCAGTATCATTCAATAGAATAGTCTTATAGGCTTTATAAAAAGTATAACTGGATTGAACAAGTAGATTTATTGAGTTCTGTTTAAAATTCTTAGGGTTTTGGCCAATACATAGCTATGGATGCAATGGCTCGTGCTTTGCCATTAAATGAATCTTATGAGTATCGACAATATTTTATTAAGAATCGTTTTGAATATAAGGTTAATTTGGCACCATTATTTATAAAACAAATGCCATTACCATATTTATCTATGATTGCATCATCTTTATTTTCTATTGATGTTCGAACAACTATAAATGTAAATTCACGTGGGGCATTAATGGCTAAAGATATGGATGAACTAATACAGTTAAACACACAAAAACAAAAGTAAGTCATTATATATAAAATTAATGTTAGTTTATGATAGGACGAGTAGAGCTTCTGAATCAACACTAGATCTTGTAACCTTGTCATATAGGACGTTTTTGAAAGTCATCGTCCAAAATATAACAAAACAGAATTGAAGAGTGAATACCATTAGATTCAAGTAAAGTTCACTTTAAATAGTTGAAGAATATTACATTAATAATCAGATAGCTTCAAGGCAGATCGTTCGAACAATAGAAAGAAGAAAACAAAAACAGTGAGAGTAAATCAATAAAACAGTTAGAATTCATTTATTTATAATATAGAATTTTGAACAAATCCATTTTTAACATACCAAATTTCAACTAAATACGAAAACTGTTCTATACCATAGACAAAACAACTGAGTACAAAAGAAAAGAACAGTTAAGATTCAACCGGAAACGTTGCACTTTTCTAACACATTTAATAAATTAATTAAAGCACTATCAACACAATTCGCCACATTTGTCATATAATGGTGTTTAGTGCTTAAGCGATGTTTCTTTCCAAAAAATACACGAACTAGAGTGCGAGCATGATAACGTCACTTATTATCTATTATCTGCTATTTTAGGAGCCTTCGTGATGGTATAATTTATATGCTGAACTGGTCAGAATGTAATTCATATATTATTCCATTTACAATGGAACAGTTTCCTAAATTTTTTATGAATGCTACTAATGTTGATGTTAGTCCGGTTTTAGAAAAATGGTTACAATGAGCCATACTTTACATTTTTCCAACGATTCCAAAAAACCTTAACTTTTCATGCTTCTTACTAATATTACTTTTGTACCATATGATTTTTCCACATAATAACGAATCGGATTAAATTCAAGTATTGATAATGTGCTTTGAATTAAGAATAAATGCAGATTTTAACTTCGCCGACACGTTTCGTATATTTTAAAAGATAGTACTCGTCGTGACTGGGTGTGGGTGAGTATGGGTGTGGTTGTTGCTCTCCTCTTTCTAGCCAAAACCCACACCCATCCCTGTTTTCATATTTCTCTTTCTCAGGTGAATAACATCGTGAAAATCACCTGAGAACCGACTGTCATCATGGTTATTCAAAAGTCAATAAGAAACGGTCGATTATTTCTATTAAAAAATGACATTTAACTTATTCCTAAAAAGCTTCAATGAAACAGCCTTTGAATATTGCTTAGTTACGATTAGTTCAATTACAAGTGATTCAGATCGCTTGAATTCTTCGTAGACATTAATAATTTAACTTGCGAGAATCAAGAACTTGAGTTTGTAGACATGTGCTTATTTTTTTCTTTTTCCTTTGTCTCATTATCAATAATGAAGACACATGTCTTTAAAAGATATCATCAACTTAGTTTATCAATTCTATTCTCTATTCGGTCTGTGAAGTACATAAAGAAAAACTGCTATCTACGCTTCATCACTATCATATTCCATATCAATATTTAGTTATCTCTGTCACTTGCTTTTTCTATTTTCATTGTTACTTACCGACAATATCACTTCTAGTACTCTGACTTCACTTCTTGTTTTATATTGCTCATCCTTCTCCATTTATATGAACGCATTACACTTAGCTTACAGCACACGACACTTTTAACAATGTATAGTTTCTTTGTCCATCTATTTTTCGCTGTAGTTACTTTTGTATAAATCTATTGCTTTTGCTGAATCTACCAAAAACAGACGGATTTTTTTCTCTTCATCGTGCCGTTAATCTTTCCCTCAATAGATATGTAATTAGACAAGAGGAGAGACGCAAGATTAATATGACAACTATGAATATTCACAATCGAAAAGGAATAGCGTTTGCTTAAATAAATGGAGAAAGACGTTTGCTAGCGACAGCGATTGTCATTGTTCGATGAATGTGAGTACGAGTTGAGGATTGAATGAATATCGTTATCCATACTCAATTAGGTTAATAGGAAACTCATGATGTCTGGATTTTTTAGAAAGATATACGCAAATCGTGATTGACTCTTACCAATTCTTCGATCTTTTGCATCTGATATTTATTTGTTTTAGACTGTCGCACAATGTTTATTGTATTTCTATTCGGTACTCTATTTTTTTCCTGCAGTAGTTCATTGTCGAAGCCAAAATTTACGCTAGATGAATTTTTTAATTATACCATGTTTTCGTCGTTGATTCTGGCACCTGATGACGGACAGTCGATTCTTATTCAAACGAAGCATCATATATGGGACCGAAATATAAATGAACAACATCTCTATTTGCAGACATTGACAGGCAAGAATAGAAAATTGATAACGACTCATGCGTCAAGTTCTTTCAAACCGATGTGGCAAGGCGAATGGATTGCCTATATGTTGGAAATTGATACAAGAAAACGCATGAATTTACACAAATCATCGGATGAAGAAGAGCACTATATTCAACTTTATTCAACTCGAACAGGAGACACATATCCGATTGCAGTAGGAAAAGAAGCTGTTCATACTTTCACTTGGTCAAACACTACTACAAGTCTATACTTTGCAGCACGTACACCATGTACAAGCGAGGCTGAAGAAGACTACAGAAGCGAATGGAATGATATCATTCAATATCGAGAGCAAGAACGAGGTGATACTATCTATCGTATTAACATTGAGGATATAACTGCATACAAAATAGAGCCACTGATAAATATTTCATTACGAGTAGCCGAACTGATTTGTTCACCTGATGGACGGCGACTAGTGTTTTCGACTAGTTCTAGATCAGAAAACCTGGAGTCAATGGAGGATTTTGAAATCTATACATTTGACTTGATGAATCGTTCACCAACAGTCCCGTTCAGATTGACGAACAATCAAGCATATGAAGAGGAATTGACATGGTTCAATAATGAAGAATTCTTTTTTACAGTTTCTGGTTATGGATCTATCGAAGGTCCCTATAAGGATAGTCAAGGACGACTCTACTCAATGAATGTCGTCGATGGTCGAATTGAACGTTGGGCTGATAAATTTAAGGGCCAGATTGAAGGCTTTGCTCTACTACAGGAAGGCCGAGATGGTGTTATTATTCTCGGTCAACTGGGTACAGAGATTCAAATCTTTACACAACTGTCAGCCAATGCCGAATTGATAAAGCGAACGGGCTGGAATGGTAGTTATGAATTGATTGTGACCGCCTCTGGTGATAACAGTTCAACGATCGCGTTTATTCATTCATCATTCGATGTACCACAAGAAGTTTATTTTCTTAACAACATTAACGAACTCAGTTCAGCTCAAGCAATTACGAGCGAGAATAAACTATTTACTGAACGAAGTTTGCCCAAGGGTAAACTGTACCGATGGACAAATGAAGACGATAAAACAGAAATTGAAGGCATTCTTTTGTATCCACCGGAAAATTTTGAGCAAAAGAATTTGCCACTGCTAGTACTCATCCACGGTGGACCTTACACGGCAGACTTGAACATGTTTCGTGCCGATTGGTATACTTGTGCTGGTATGATGGCCACTGAAGGTTGGCTTGTACTGCAACCAAATTATCGAGGTTCTTCAGGTATGCTTATGTAGTAGGGGGATTTAAAATTCACGTAAGATTAATATCAACGATGAATTTTAAATTTCTCTAGAAATTTAATTTCCCCTGCAACACATGCATTATTTGCAATATTTTTATCATTCTTCAGGCTATGGTGATGACTTTCTAAATGGCATATTACTTGAAATCGTTTCTCGTCCTGGTAAAGACATTTTGTTTGGTGTCGATGCGTTGATACGTGATGGTATTGCTGATCCTATGAGACTAGCCGTCGGCGGCTATAGTTATGGTGGATATATAACAAATTGGTTGATCACTCAGACAACTCGATTCAATGCTGCTCTCTCAGGTGCTGGCGCTATTGAACACGTCATTGATTGGGGAACAAACGATATACCCGTATCGAATGTTTACTTGTTAGGTGGCTTTCCATGGCAACAGCCTAGCCGATATCAAAAGGAAGCTGCTGTATATCAACTGGATAAAGTCTGTACGCCCACTCACATTGTAGTAGGTGAATACGATGTTCGAGTTCCTGCTGCAGAGACTTACATTTTGGAACGGTCATTAAAGGCACTTGGAGTTACGACGAAATTAATTATCTTTCCAGGCGAAGGCCACGACATTGAAAATAATCCTTGGCACGAAAAAATTAAAGTGCGAGAAGAATTGAAGTGGCTACATACATATGGCAATACTCGCCCAAATAAATGTAACGAAATTTTGAGTTCATCCACGAACGACAAGCGTATTCGGGAGTATATATCAGTTCTTGTAGCAGCTCTCGCATGCATCCTCTTGTTCTCTAGATTCTAAACTGAAGGAATTATTTGTTCATTTCGAATACATTTTTTTTCACATTTGTAACAATTTGTTACTCACTATTCTTAAATAGTTTCATGATAAAAATACTTACAATGAGGAAGAACCATTGCTATAAATCGTTCTTTGACTTTGTTTCAAGACCAAAGAAAACATATTAAAGCATACAATGAATTTCCCGAAAGGTGTGAGTGTGTGGATACGGGTGCGGGTGTAGATTAAGTGATTCTCGAGACCCACTTACGCTCACATCCTCTCACTTTCTGATTTAGACATTTTGAAATAAATACTTTTGTGAGAATTAAAAATTTTGATGTTTGTCACAATTATCTCTCGGAATGTACCCGAACTTTGATTGAGTAGAAATTCTCATCACCATGCAATTATTCAGTATGATCATTGTGATTCGATGTCGACAGAATAATCTGAAATATTTCATCATGCCGTGATGAATCATCTCTTCAAGTTTCATTTGGATTTCTCTTCTCATTTCATGAAATATTAACAAATATAACTATTCTGATTTAGAATGTGAAAAACAATCAGTTGAACAATGTTCTTTCTTGTCAATGAATTTGTTTTGTCTTCGATAGTTCAAAACCAAGAAACGTAAAATCGACTATTCTCATTTCATCTAACCATCATTGATCATCATGTTCTATAGAAAATCTACGAACGGAACAATGATCGAGTATGGCATTGTTTTCATTTAGATACTTGATATCGCTCTCAGTAATGCAATCAAGTTTCATCTTTCAGTATTGCTCATCAATTTAGACATGAGCTTTTCTCTGAATCACGATCAATCTTTCTCCAAATGTTGAATGAACAGATCAAAGATATCTGATTAATAATTGAATATAACTTATTGTAGATCGAGTCACAATGTAATCAAACACTCGATGTAGTGATAAAGTAGTGTTTTTTCACTTTATTGATAAATATTCGTCATTACATATAATGCATCATTGTTTTTCATGAACAAGTTTTCAATTTGTTGACTAGTTTCAGACGAAAAGAAAACAGCAAAGACTTCAATCTTGAGGTCTCTTGAAGTCTTTGGAAAACTTTTGAAGTTAAATAAAGTCTGTTGTTTCTCATCTCGGTTTCAGATCATCGTTCACTGCATATCGAGAATTTCAACTGTTCGATGGATCGAAATTCAAATTATTTTTGACATTTGTCTAGTTCGCAGAGAAACTTTAGAAATTATCGATTTTCGAATGATGAAAATGAAAATCTTTTAACTCGATGACAAATCAAAACATATGGATAATGTTAGAATATTCAAAACAGGAAAACAATCTTTTATCATGTGATTCATGATTGCATACTATAGAAGACAAGATGATCCTATTTATAAAGACTTTATTATTCAATCATTTGTTCAACACTATGATGAGAACGTTAAGACAATGTCAATTTTCTAAAATCAGCAATTTCGATCAATATTGAACTTTTGTACTCGATGATTTCCATATTCACTCACATAGAGATTGCCCTCTCGATCAAATGACAAACCAATTGGATCATAGAGTTGATTATATTGGCTTGCTCGACCATTGCTACCAACAATGACACTCCCATGTGTAGCTCCTTGAGACCAACGCATTATTCGATGATTTCCATTGTCAGACACATAAACGGTACCTGATTGATCTACGATAATTCCCCCAGGATTCGATAATTGAGTAAGACTATTTTCTTCATCTTGACTACCAGCTACGACAATGCCTTCTTTTGCATCTTCCATCCACTTCATTACACGATTATTGATGGAATCTGATACGTAAACTGAATGATCTCGATCGACAGATACGTACGTCGGTTGATACAACTGATTGAGACGATTTCCTGGCCCATTTCCACCTGCAACGACTGTTTCTTGACGTTTTCCCATTCGATATCGTATAACTTCATGTTTATCACAATCAACAACATAGAGAAATCCATTATCGTCCATTGTCAAGCCACAACATCCAATATTTGAAATAATCGTTTCTCCATTTGTACCATTTTGACGAGGCCATCGAACAACTCTTTTATTATTGTAATCACAAATGATAAGACTATCGTTTTCTTTATCAATAATTACATCTCTTGGATAGTTCAACTGATCAAGACTGTTTCCTTCTCCATTTCCACCAGCCACAACTCGACCAATCGTTGCACCACATTTCCATTCTACAATACGATGATTGTTGCAGTCAGCAATGTAGACAGTTTGATCATCATCAACACACAAACCACTTGGACTGTAGAGTTGATTCATTTCACTACCACCCCAATCTCCTCCAGCAATAGTAAAACCATTTTGTATCCATTTTGCATTATCATTTAGATTTGCACTGCGTAGTAATGGTGCTGAAATAAAAACACAATTTTCATTCATTCAGATTTGATTAATGTACGCCGATGAAAACTGATATTCAAAATAAAGAACTTCAATCAAGAGAGTGAAAGAGAAAGAATAGTTTTATTCAATGATCATGTTGAATAATGTTTCAATAGTAATCTCGTTTTTTTTAATTTTTTGAATAGAGAAAAGTTTGAAAGCTTTTATTTGATGAGAATTAACACTTGCATTTTCAAATTTTCTCTTTATCTAATCATCATCGAAAGACTTTTTATCTTTGAAACAAGCTTTAATAACAAAAAAAAACATCAGTACCAGTGAAGAAAGCTGACAGTATCTATTTTTTTGCATAGATAATTGTTAAAAATACTTGTAGACGATTGAAATAACTATTGAATTTCGATCGAAATTGATCTCTCACACATTTTTGTTTTATGAGAAACAAATGATTGACACTTTAAGAATAATTCATTTCTTTATTATTCGTCGAATGTCAATCGAGAGCAAAGATAATCGAATTTCTCATAATGATCTTTCAAAGAAAGTTCCTTCATCACTTGAGGAAGTGGGTGTGAGTGTGCTTAAAGAGATTCGTACATCAACATCCACCCCGATTCGTTGCCAAAGGTACGACCTTCGAGTAGCTCAGATGAGATATTTTTTAGATCAACGAAGAGAAGTTTTCATCATCTTTCGAAATGTTCAATGACTACAGAAAAATCATTAGCTATTAAATCAAATAGGTGCATTTTATAGTAAAAATAAAAGAAGAAGGCAAACCGAAACACGAACAAGAACTTTTTTTAATGATTCACTATTCTGAAAAGTGATCATAGTTACAATAAGTAGTCAAATGAAGAGAAACCGAATAACTCAACAGTGCATCATGTGCATTGAAATAAAATAGATGTGATGGAAGAATCGTCTAGCGGAAGAGATATTTACTTATGTAGTCTTTTCAGCAGAAATAATTGAATTTGTCTCGAGCGCTGAAACAAACTAAGAAATGAATCGAGTATTCACATTTCTTTTCTTTTCGATCACTTTTAAAAAACAAATCCATTGTGTTCTTCCTAATTTCTATTCAATACTCTTTTCTAATATTATCTCGAAATGTTCATCATTTGAATATTCTAACCGAAGAAAGTCTCATTATGATTAAATCAGATTAAATTATATATAGACAAATGAATGATATCAAAGATTTATTTTTAGATCTATTGACGACTTTTTAATTTGAATCGATTTTTCAAAGTGTCTTGTCTATCGGATGAAACTCATTGACAATGGAAGTTCTTGGAATTCTCTTTTTTTGGTGACTGTCAAAGAGATAATCGAATACTGATAAAATCAATTTGTATTTCATTACAGATGAACAAGATTTCTGAAACATTGTTATTATCTCTCAAGGTGACTAACTGTGGTTAATTTCACATCCAGTTTGAATTCAACGGGATAAATGGAAACTGTAACATCTTTAATGATAAATCTAGAGTTGTGGATGTGCGTGAGAAACTTTCTTCATTCCCACACCCACACTTATCGTTTTATAAAACCGGTGTTTATTGAAATTCGAAATAAAATTTCAGAAAGCTGAACATTTTTTTTGGCTGAAAATATGCTCAGTCGTATCAAAACGATAAGTTTTGAATGATATTTAATTTCAATTTTCTTGAGTATTGTGTGTCTTTCGAATTAATTCTAATCTATAAATGAATTAATTTAGATTAATTAATGAAAAGAATGAAAAAAATATGTGATTGAATATCAAACAATATTCGATTGATTTGTTAGAGAATTTCTTTTCTTCTATATCTATAGGTCAATATACTCACAGTTGTGTTGACGAATATAGATAAATCGATTCCAATCAATTTGATCATCATCAACAATGATAATTTTTGTTGCATCTTTTTGAATAAATGGTTTAAGTATTTGTTGAATTTCATTGATTTTTTTTCGAATTCGATCAATATCATTTTCAACAAAAGTTTCTTCTTCTTGACAACAACGAATTTCTTCTGTAATTAATTTAAGTTGTTTTGTTATTGTTATTCCTTGTTTATCAATTAATTCGATAAGTTCATGACGAACTTTTTCTGCTGCTTGTTCTACTTTATTAATTGTTGTTTTTTTCCATTGTTCAATTTGATCAAGAAAATCTAATGAAAAATAATTTGATTTTTCTAATTTTTGTATTTGATTAAGTAGTTCATCATGTGATGTTACTATTTCAGCATCAAATTTCATTGATAGTTGTTGTTCATGTTCTTTGAAATCCTTTAGACAAAAATATTTTTGACATCCAATGCAAAAACGTTTCGCTGAAGATTTATTGCAAACTGAACATGAATTAGGTTCATTTACTGTTGCCATTTGTTATCAAAGAAAATCACTCGAATTATGAATATATCTCAATCTAAAATGAATTCATATGAATATTTATAAAGAAATTATTTTAAATGAAATTACTCAATATTCTTCGTTTATGATTCGAATTAAATTCCTTTCAACTATTTAAAATATGATTCTATCTATATGTAATAAAACATAGAAAGAAGATTATATCAATCTTTAATGGATTCCTATGTTTATTATTTAATAATTATGAAAGTCTTGATCAAATTCAAAAACAAACAAAATCTCACGAAAAAAAATCGATTTATATAGATTGAAGTCAAATTTCAATAAGAATATATCTAAGGTGAGTATACGACTTTCTCCATGAAGAATAATGATGTTTTCAATAAGTAAAAAACTTATCTTCATTCAATGAAATATATATTCGTATGTTAACCGATATTTAAAAAGTCCATGAAAATATTATTTGTATGAGAGAAAAATAGATAATCATGAAAAATATGTGATGACCTTCCAAATAACATCTTTACAAAACTTTCTTATATATTTCTATCAAGGATCACTAAATATGCCGATGAATTGTATGACAGTATTCAAAAAGATACGAATGAATCAATGAAGAAAACAAAACAAAATCTTATATAAACAGATTATGTCTATGTTTTGGTTGAAAAGAGCAGGAAATTTCAAAAGTATTTTAATTTGGATGGAGGCGTGGGTGTACACCTTACTTACACCCACACTCTCATTGTAGAAATACTTTTTTAAAAAGAAAGCAACTACATATTGTGATAGTGCTTGAAATTTGCTATTATTCAATATGTTTATCTATTGTCTTGCATTGATTTGTTACAGCATTTAAATGCAAGACAAGACAAAAAAAGAAAATATATGGGACGATAGAAAATTTCAAGCACGATCAAAATTGATTTCTATGGTAATTATAACTTAAATACAGCAGAAATAAGTAAGGAGTTTTAGTACTTGTCAATTAAGGATATGTTCCTTTTATCAAATTATTTTCTTCAATAAACAATCGCAAGACAATAGATAAACATATTGAATGATAGAAAATTTCAAGTGTTTTCATAACATGAAATTGCTATTTTGTTAAAAGATATTTCTACAATGATAACAATTTTTAAAAGCTCATTTTGACGAATATGGCAAAATCAAGTCTACGGAAAACTTTCAATAAAGGTGTTTTCATTGTATTCGATGTAGCATGTGGGTGTGAATCTATTCTTCACTCTCACCCACACACACCCACACCCTCATAACAAGTAACAGACATAGAAGTGATACAAATGTGGCTCAATCGATGCCTTCTTTTGAATAAAGGTCGACTTATCATTCGCCTAAAAGAAACAAAAAATGGAAAGATTTTACAAAAACATCACCATTAATTTAGATGGTATCAATTTATGATTTCATGTGAATTCATCTGGGGAATATTTGCCGAATCTACGACAATCTAAGGGTGTAAGTGTGAAATGTGAGTATCTATTTGAGAAGGAACACTGACTGTAGGTAAATTGAACATCAACACTCATACCTATCCTTAATGCAAAGGGTAGCTCCAAAAAAACGTCGACCTTCTTAATGTTTTGTATTTGCGAATGATTTGACTAGCCGTTTGGTTTAAAACATATAAATTGAAAAACAGAATTTTTTTCCGCGAAATATTTGAAAGCTTTGTCTACAATTTCATAACATTCTGAGCATAGGGATGGAATAGTCAATGTGAAATGCTGAGACTGTTTTATCCATCTTGTCAATATAAAAGTTTATGTTTTTTATCTTCTTTCATTTGATCGAAGATGAAAACTTTGTTAGCAAATATGAAATGAATTCAACCAAGACTATGAAAACAACCAAATTCTTAATAAAAATGACAAAAGTCGATGGATTTCACCCTCATGTTTTGTTAATAGAAAAAATTTTCACACTTAAAAATCAACTACTTTAAGACAAAATGATAGGAGGAACAGAAATTTCTTCTCAATAGAGAATATCGTTCATGTATCTATTTTACGCAATTGGGATGAGTATTCAAGAATACTGATTGAAGATGTACAAGAACTCAGCACCCGTCACGTTTATTCTTTTCTTTGAGAATAATGAGCTATGAGATCTTCGGAAATTCCTCGTCAAATTGTGCGATGTTTAATTGACATGATATGGAGAAACATCATCTCAAGTTTGAGAAACAACTATATATATTTGAACTATAGTCGAAGTTTTATCTGGATGTGTTTGATTCCGAATAGCATAGAAACTGTTCTCATACATATTTGACTCCATTGTATATACAAATAAATCGATATCAATTCGTCTTCATTCAACCTATCCGCAGATTTTCTCGAATTTATTTTATCAATTATTATGTTTTGTTTGAATTCTTCGTCAAGAATTTTTCTTTCGAATGATTAACATGCTTCTTTAATAGATAGTGAAAACTTGTTATATAGTTGCTAATCGGTTTGTGGTATATGTTTTAGTTCATCATCGATGCTAGTCTACAGACTCGATTTCATTATATGAAGTATCAAGCGAGTTCTCTTAATACATAATATTCATGAAAAAATATTAGTATCTTTCATTTCATTTTTTAACATTCAATGTTAACGAATCACTTAATAGTTTATATTAAGTTTAAGTAATTGTGTCAAGCAAATATCATTTAATTTCAAGTTTTCTTCTACTTCCCTAATCAGTACGGATAAAACTATATTTTCTGCCTACTATAAATATAAAAATATTTTACTCAAATGAAATTGACTAGGAGCTTTTCATTTCAATTAATCAGATTTGAGTAGGATTTTTCTCTACTTTTGTAAGAAAACTTTGTATTGCCCATATTGATCATGCAACTTGCAGGAGAGTTTTCTTTTAAATAGTTCGGATAACACTATGCTGAGTTCTTATTGGAATAGAGAAAAATCCGAAATTAAATGATATTTACTCAACACAATCATTTACATTTAATTTTAAGTGATAATTAGAAAAACTTAAACTTAATTCCATTATTTCTACACACTAACTTCTTACTTGTCGTTCAATGAATTATTTATTTTAATATTTCGTACGAAAGACATACGTGAGAAGTGATGAGCCGTACAAAAAACGAACATCAAAATCAAACGATACTCACGTTTGTGTTCTTAAGAGGGACAAAGAAATAAAAGAAAAAAGAAAAAAAAACCATGTTCGTCTCGAATAAGGAGCGTGCAATTCAAAATTTCTACATGATCGTTTTTTTCTCTTTTTTATGCATGATTGAATAGAGCACATGGAGTCATGCAGAAAAACTGCCTGTTCAATTTTCATAAGTAGATTTTTTCAAAAAAAAAATCATGAATCTGAGATTTTATCACAAAATATGTTAACTTTTCATATAATCGTGAATATAATAATCTTTTTCACATTGTCCAACTTTATAAATATTTTTTTTCCATTCTGCGATACATAATTGATTAGACAAAAAAAAAAGTGATTTGTATAAATTACTTGTTTTTAGTTAGTTATGTGTCATGAAAAGTAGAAAAAAATATATTTATAGAATTGCACAGAACGAAAAAATGATTATATTCATAATTATGTGAAAAATTAATATATTTTATGATGTAATGTGATATTCGAAATTTTTTGAAAATTGAAGAGACATTTCGTTTTTTTTTGTTTTGAGGTAACTCAATGTACTCTATCCAATAATGTATTAAAAAAGGCGAAAAAAAAAATGGTACAAAAGTTTTGAGTTGGGCGCATTCTACAACAAAATAACTGAAAAAGTTGTCTCTCCGAAATAGAATTCTTCGATATTAAAATTGTTATTTAAAGGTGACAGTACAATAGAGCTACCATGATGATGATAGAATTCATCAGATGGTTTGAAGAGCATGGCTAATGACAAGACATCTTCTATATCGTTTTTTCAAAAATATTATTTATTTTATATTCAATTGAAAAGATTCTAATATGTAGCATTTTGTTCAAAAGAACGACTGTCAAGAAAATTTTCAAATAATAATCGAAGCAAAATAATTCGGATAGAGTAGAAAAAAATAATTATCATCTTCTATATTGCTCTTAATGTGTCTTTCGTTAATGATAATGTTTGAATTAGAGCTAAGAAGAAGAATTATATCAAATATAATAATTTCATACAAGAGAATCACGAATAGATGATAAGTATTTCGATAGAGTTGAAGAAAAACTGACTGGTAAAAAAGTCCAAAAAATAAACAGATACAAGCTGATCTATTCAAATCATTGGGATACATATATGTTTATCACGATAATGATACTAATCACGCTACGTCATAATTCTTATATTGGAAATCATATAAGCTCGAATAAAATAAAATCTGTTCAATGAGTTTCCCATGGATTTATCTTAACAAAGAAAAACGATAATATTGAGTATATTTTAGTATCGTAATTCGAAATCGATTCATGTTGAAGCTGAATTCCTCGTTGTGATTTATTGGTGATAATCATGGTTGTTATAAGATCATTAAGATTAGAAGGTGTAAGTGTAAAGAATATTTTCATATGAGATAAATAATTTTGTAATCTTTCAGAAAATCAATATTCTAATGATCACAACTGATTGAGCATCAATAAGAAATTTGATTCGAGATAATATGTTCTGTAATATAGAGAATGAAAATGTAAATATGGATGCAAAGATTAGAAACTTCTTTTGACTCACATCCGCACTCAAGTAATAAAAATCATATATCTATTACTCACGATCATATTCATACAATTCAATGCTTTCTTTTAACTTAGCCCGATTATACTAATACAAAAATCTCTGCAACAGTATAGTTGCTTTCTAAGATAATCGATCAGTACAACAACAATTTGTCTTATTTATACCTGCAGTTTGAACAGAATTTTGCTCGTTATTGTTCATTTTTGTATTTCTTTTTTCTTAATTTAACTTTATTATAATTCCTATCATGGATTGAACTGACAAATAAGTCTGTTATATATATTCATTATGCACA